AAAAAAAAAAAAAAAAAACAAAACCCCATTTAGGAATTCTTAGCTTGAATTTCACGATTTTCTAAAGATTATGGGGGAACTCCAAGAACCAGATTTAGATTTGCATCGGAACAGAACTTGGTGTGATTTTCAAGTTAAGGTGTAAAGCACAAAAAAGGTGTATTGTTGTGAGAAGTTGAATGCTCAGAAGGTATCAAATTCGCAAATGGAAGAAAGATTTCATCTGGGTGTGCTTTGAACTTGATTATGAAGCTTTTTTTTTTTTTTTGGGGGGGGGGGGGGGTGTGTTTAATCTTTTGATTAATTGTTTCAGTATCGGCTTCAAATTCGTCCTTTTGATTACTTAAAAAAATGGTAGGATCGAGTTGACACCAAGAATATTTACCAGCTTTTGGTTAATTGAGGCCATTTGAACTCTCCTGCATATTATTGCTCCTCTTGCTTTTAATCAAACTCTGTTTTGTAGTAATATTGCTTTCTACCTTTTTAATATGATTCTTAATGGTTTTTGATGTGCTCAAGGATGGATTTTTATGCAAAAGAGTATTTAGTGATTCATTAAGCTTTAGCAATATGTTATTTTTTAAAATATTGCTTCTATTTCCTTACTGATAGCTTCTTGGTTTAGTATATGATCCTTCTCTTGATGGGTTTAATACTCAAAAATAGATTTTGTATACAAAACAGTTTTAGGATTGTTATTCTTTTTTGTCAAACTCTTTCTACTTTTTGTTCATTTTGTATATGATCCTCCTCTTGAATTTTGAATGTGATTCTTGACGGTTTGATACTCAAAAATGAATTTTTATACAGAAAAGTTTTGAGTTTGATTTTTCATGGTTTAATGCTTAAGAATGTATGCAAAAAAGTACCTATTGCTTCATTAAGCTTTAGTGGTGTAAATTTTTGTTTTTATCAAATTCTTTCTAATTTTGTTCCTTTCTAGTAATTTCTTAGTTTTTGTACATGAACCTTCTCTTCTTTATGGTTTGACACTCAAGAATGAAATTTTATAAAAACCCTAGAGATTTAGACTCATCAATAAATAAATATCATTTTATAAGTTAGATTCCAAACTTAAAATTTAAAGTTAGCACCTAAAGAATTTAATTTTATTGAATATAACAAGTTAATGTTTAGGTGTGCCCCATTAAGATGCCCTAATGAGATAATAGTCTTAAAGTACGTAAAAGTTGATTCAGAGATACAATGATCATAAATACAAAGAAAAAAAAAAAGAAATTCTATAAGTACCAATAATTCATTAAGCTATAAGAGTGTTATTCTTTCTAGGGGTGGGAATTGATTGGCTCGGTGACCGAATCAACTAATTTAAGCAATTAACCAACTTTTTTGGTTGAGAAAAAGTGAAAATCAATCACCGAACTAAATTAGTGTTGGTTATATCAATTTGGTTACCCTTTTTTTGGTTTTATTCTTTTTTGTTGTGATTTGTATCG